TGGGGGCATGTCAATCAAGCCACAAGGAACCATGCGCACCCACAGCCTTGGTTGCACCACCACCCTCCAACTGGCAGAGCAAAGGGAGTGAACTGAAGAGAAAGGACCCAAATCGGACCAGTCTTAAAATCATGCTGTGGTTGTCAAGTTCAACATTAGTTGTAACAACTTCAGTTATACCTTACGAAAGGGCTTAAAACATATAAAACTTTCAAGAAATGAATTAAGGGTTTCCGTAGTTTTTGGATTTACTGATTCAACATTTTGCCTTCTTAATTTGCTTTTAAAACAGTTTGATAAAATCAAATGTTTAAAAAGGTAATAAAGTTTTATTATAAGTTCTACACATTTTTCTAATCACAAAATGATTAAAAGTTGTATTTGAATAGGAATGCGTTATTTTAAATAGACTTAAAATACATACGATTCTTAAATGTAGAAGAATACAATAATTTGTCTTAAAAAAAACATTTAAGTATTTAAGAAACAATGTTTTTAATTTTCCTGGAAAGATTTCGTCAGTCAAACTTCCCTACAAGATAAAGTACAATTTTCTTAAAGGGTATCAGAAAAGGCAGACTCAATGGCAGCGATTTTATCGATGGCTTTCCAAAGCGTAGGCGATAATTTATTTAACAATGTGTGGCATGCGTTTTTCTGGGGAGCCCGAGTCGAAGCTATTGTCCATTGAAATGTAAACGCTATTGGGAGATGTGTTAGCCTGGCCAGCTGTGAGCTGTGGGCTATGGGCTGTGAGCTGGCTGGGAAACATTTGTTGCCCTGGGGCTAGAACAAAGGAGAGAATCGTTTTTATCTGCCACAGCATTCACTCCTTTATTTGCCAAGTGCAAATTGCAAAATGATATTAGAGGGGTGGATTCGGCACTGCACCAAGGGAGTTCGCAGGATGGGCAGGGTGAAAGTGGCAAGTGGCAAGTGGAAAGTGGAATGTGGAAAGTGCGCCCGACACCAGTCAAGCCGAGCAGCTCGTCCGTAATGAGCACGAACAAAATTAATGTGATTTGTGTCGAAGGGTGCAACGACTGTATTATCGAGCAGGATTACGGGAATACAGGAATACAGGAAGCCCGATGATGCTGGTATTGTGGCTGGCAGCAGATTTCTATTTGCACTTGTAATTGGCGCGTTGGTGCTGGTCCGGGGATTCCCCATTTGTAAGCCCTATCCGTAAGCCTGGGCACTCCCCCCGATTTCACTGCACAGTCATCGACTTTAATGAATAATTGAGCACACAACTCCCCAAAAATAAAAGTGAATAATGTTTGATACGTGAAAATTTTCACATTTTATTGCTATATTCGGTTATGGGTAGACATGGCGCCCCATTTTATCAGATTAAAACAATTTGCAAATAAATATTTTATCACGACCACTTATTTTAAAGTATTGAGCATAAATTAGATTTTTGATTGTATTTTGTATCCGGTCATAAGACTATAAAGTCTGGTTTATAACTCTCAATGTATTGGCATTATTTATTATTTTTCATTCAGATTGCTTTTATAGTATAAAATTTTAAAAGTAAATTTAAAAAAAAATCCCTACTTCTTCGTTATAAATGTCTGTTGCCCGCCATCATCTTCCATTAAATACACATAATGAAGATGATGAATACGTTATTGAGATGACCACAGCACTTGACCGTAACAACTTGTCCCAAACAAAATGCATTATAATGATTTATGAACGTCAGTCGCTGGCCAAAAAATCAACCCTCTAGACAAATTAACAAGGATATATGATGATGATGATGATGCTGCCGTCCAAAACACACTCACCCGCCCAAAAACAAAGGCTGTCAAAGCCACAAAGAGACACTCGACCCAAGCAGATGCCCCAACGTGTTTTCCCCACCAAGTTTAAACAAAAATTAAAACACCTACCCTCCCCCATTCGATGTCCACGACCTCTCAGCCCCTTTTTCTTGTTCTGAACTTGAAGCTAATCAAAAATGTTTCACAAAGGAGGGAAAGGAGAGGAAAAGGAAATGGAGTTTCTGCTTCTTTTACCACGAACTTATTTTACACTTTCTTTTTTATTTTAAAATTTTTATGAAATTGTTTTACTTCAAAATCTAAAATCCTTGTTAGCTATTTCTTTGAGGAAGGCTCTGCATTGGGCATAAAGTTGAAAAAAAATTGTTGTTTTTAAATTTGAATCATTTTATTTTAGAACTTAGAATAAAATAATTTAAAGCACTAGTTTAAGAATTAAATGGGTTTTATAAATCGATTTCATTAAATTTACATTATTAACATTTGAAGTTAATAAACTCTTTAGACATACAATAATTGGTTTTGAAGCCTTTATCGGCATTATAAGCATAAAGTTCTTAAATAAAATGGAAATTTTCCTCGCTGCCCAACTAAGTTATGCTACCCGATACAAAAGTAAAAAAAAAAACGCAAAACTTGTGTTAAGCGAAAGTGCAAAAGTTGTTAAAGGAGTTTTTTCTGCGCAACCAACAACCACCGAAAAAATAATAAAAAAAATTCCCAACTTGGATGGATACTTTTATGTTGTAGTGGCAAGTAAGCCAACATTGTTGCCATGATTAGCATTTTATCAGCGGATCCTTTGGCTCATCTTGCCATGTCTAAAGACAAACACTTGGCCATCTTTATGGTAATTTAGTTTTTGCTAAGATGCGGCAACAGCTGACAATGTTTTAAGGAATTCCGCACCCCTCCGGAAATAAGATCACGGAAAACCCGAGCTCACCCCCCTTAAAGTTGACTGGTAGGCAAGTAGAGTACTTGCCACATGAGGAAGCTGCGTGTCACATAATCAAAATTGAGGAGAAAACACAACCTGCAGGGTGCTTTTTATGTTTTTATGTGCGGATCCCATTAATTTATTGCCAGAGACATTGAGACACCTCCAGCCGAACAAAAGGCGACATTATTATTTCATTATTATGCCAAACGCATCAGGATCTCGCCCCCCATCCCAATGCACGTGGGCTGGTTCATATTACATGAGGTGGATTCAACGGAGGACGAGGACGGGGACGGGGATGGCAGGTCGGAATGGAGGCCTTTGGAGGTGGCAGATGATTCATGCGCTGGCAAATTTTTTGACGCCCGCCACATAAATAAAACAGGAGGCCCGGGGAGCTCAGACATATGTTTGGATAGTCCCCGGGTCAAAGGGCCCCGGTCAGAGGCTGTAATATTTACTCGTAAATATTTTTATAGGCACTAGGGTTTCCGCTACCGACGAACAAAGCGCGAAGAGTCCACAAAAGCAGGTGCTCTATAATATTAAATTAAATATTTGTTACAAAAAATAAACTTTCATCTCTTTGCTTAGAAAATTGTGGTAAATTCAACGAAATTAGTTTCTGTAATTTTTTCTTTATACAAATTTTAATTAAACAAAACTGTGCCTTTGATTTGTTTTCTATAATTATTAAATATATAATACCCGGTATTCATTAATTAAATAGCGACAGTGGAAAGTATTTTTAATTCTCAACTTCAAAAAATAATTATTTTGCCCACATTTTGTTTAATAATAATAATAATTTGTTTGTATGGTATAAAAACGTTGCTGTCGTTCATAAATACGTATGTATGTATGTACTATGTACTTCATGTACTATAAGCAAAAAATATAATTGTTCGTTGCTTCCAAACCATTTCGCCATATTTATAAAAGTTCGTTTACCGTTTGACTGGCTTTTTGTTTTAAGCACACTTCATACACATCTGCCAATTTGTTCAATATATTTCCAATTTGCCAAAATCAACAATGTTAAATACCTACCGTAAACCAACATCACGGCCCAGCTTTTTCACAACGAACTTTTGACTCCTGCTGCTAATCCTTTTGTGCGTGCGCGCGTGTGTAAACCATTTAGCGCCAATTAAAACATAATTGCGGCACTCGCGGATAGGAATCGGGCACTAAATCATTCTCGGGCCTCTTCGTCCTATTCCATTTTGGCACAGCGAGAATTGCGGCAGATAAACGTTGAGGAACCACAACAAATGGCGAAAACCGAAAGCGCGGGTGAAAGCACGAAAACACTTGGGCGTCTCATTCACCGTTTAATGGCTTCAATCCAATCTGAGGCGCACTTTAATCTCATTGCACTTGAAGCGTTGATTAAAAACACAGAGCACGGGCCCACATTTTATTTAAAGGACGTAATTCCGACGAGAGATTTCGGCTTAGAAATCTTGAGCGCAGAAACCACCCGCTAAAACCACCACACGCCGCCGGTTAAGAGCAATAACTGTTATTCCTACGCGCTCCTTTTGTGGAGTTCACCCCGTGGTGGTGAATTCGGGATCAGCTGATTTTGGGGTAGAACGGAAATAACGGAAATGGGGATGAAAAACTTTCGAATTTGCCGGGTCGGCCACTTGTGTATACAGGAATTTACATAAACAAAAGCACTAGAGGTATTCCGCATTCTTAAGAACTGGAACTATAACATATGAAATAACAAAATTAAAGAAGCTTTATGTTTTGCTTTATAGTAGCAAACTGTAGTACATTTTTGCTCACATTGAAACAATATAATTTTATGCTTTTAAAAAAAAGAAGTGTTTTGCAACATGGAAGTGCTTTAAGATATTCGGAACTTTTATTGATTGTCCAATATGGATGTATTATACTATTTTTCGAAGTTTTATTAAATGTGCAAAATATATATATTGTTTTCTATTTCTTGTGTTAATTTGTACCAATTTATAAGGATACATTTTCCATATTATTCCGTTTTTCATTATTTTAGCTTTAAGATAAATAATAGGCGCCGATCTAGCACCGATTTAAAAAAAAAATTAGTTAATTGCCCATTTTAACATTTTCTTTAAAAACTATGCCCAGCGAAATCTATATTTCTATCTGAATAAGCAAAAGCAAAAGTTTTTATATATAAATAACGTATCCGATATAATATATATCGTACCTAATGCCATCTCTATGTATTAATGACGGTAATCTGCCAGGTTATTTTTTGGCACGCCCGAAACGGTCACTCTGCGCGTCCATCACATTTTTGGTTTAATCGAATTGCTTCGCCCTGAATTGTTTTACGTATTTGCCGATTAAATCAAAATGCCTGCGGTTGTGCGTATAAAGCGGCGCATCGACGAGGAACCCCACACGGCCTTTGTGCTTAACGGCAAGCGGAGGCGCCTCCAAAACGATGAGAATTCTCTGGAGGATGCGGGAGCAGTGGCGGGAGCGGCGGCATCAGACAAAGACGAGCTGACCACCGTGCTTAAGTTTGCCGGCACGCTGGAAAGGCAGGTGAGAAATCGGGAACCAGGATCCTTTGAATATCCACACAGTGCAATTCTATTTATGGATTCCATTTGATTTAATGTCCCGACTCTCACATTTTCCAAATGTGTGTATTTTCGGGATAAAAGAGCTTGCCGTCGTTATCTTACATGTTTTTGTAAGTTTATTGACGTAACAGCTATATACATAATTTTAGAAATTATTTTAATTATTGAAATTAGCGTCTAAAACTTAATTAATTAAAATTTAAAAAAATCGAGTAGCTCATTTGCATAGTTCAATGAACTTTTTCGAAAAAAGTAAACAGTTCGTGTTAGATTACTAAGTCGGTATTTTTGTATATCTCTTAAAAAGATAATGGCGATGTCTTCCAAATTAACTAACATAACTTTAACTTTTAAGCATCCTACAGAGTTGTATGTGAGTAATTATAAAAGAACTAAAAGCATCATTGTTCTAAATTTTAACCTCTTAAAGCAGTACGAACTCTTAGTTACATTTTATTTTCTTTAGCTTAAGCAAAACTTTGATAAAAACAATCAGCATTTATCAAATTCTTATCTTTAAAATCGATGTATAAAGTTCTGGACTTTGTCAGCTGTATACCACGTTAGATCGATTTTAATAAAAATATGTTTATAGCTTTGGCGAGGGTAGATATACAATTTAATAAATTTTAATAAAAAGTTAGACTTAACTAACTGGTTAATGTTCGGGGTGTCCCAAAGTTAAGAGCTCTTGTATAAATCGAAAAAGCAACAGTTTAACTATAATTCATTTTAAATGTAATGCAGGGCAAGACGAAAAGGTAAAATATAGACCTTATTTCAATTATCTAATTTTGGATTTCGTTTACCAGGACGATTGTGCCACTCGACAATTTGCGGCTGCCAGACTGAACAAAACCACGGCCCGTGAGTTGGTGCAACAGCAGCGCTCCAATGATGCGGCCATTGCCAGTGCCCTGCGGCGGGATCGCCAGCGCCAGGAGGCCCAGCAAAATGCCCGAGAGCAGCGCTTCCGGGTGGTTAACTGCCTGCGCAGTACCCTCGAGGAGAATGCCAACGAAGCGACATGCTCGGAGGACCAGAACCAGGAGCCACAGCCCAGCAAACGTCACATAACCATTGTGGACATTGAATCACAGCAGCAGCAGCAACAGCAATCGGGATTGGAAAATGCCACAATTCAAGATCGACAGCAGGATACAGAAACCAGCCATGATCAGCAACAGCCCGCCGATTCCGATGTGGGTTATGTTTACGATCTATATGTTCCCGAGAACGAGATGCAAGCGGCCTATGTCGATATGATGGATGACAACTATCTAAGGTTTGTCATACATATTGAGCCACAGAAAACGTTGAGCCTTACCAATTACTATATGTAACCGATTACTATATATACACATATATTTTTATGGCATACATATATGTAAGCGGTGTGTCTGTGTGTCGGTGCTAGAGTATCTGTGTGGGTGTGCGTATGTCTGTATTCATAGTCCTCGGGCCAGGTCTCACTTGCATATTACCCCCTAATCTAAATCATCTAGACATAATTGCAATCACTGAATATAGTTCAATAATACGATTCGTTCTCCATAAGGTTGTATTATCCGTTTAATTACTACAACAACTGCTACTGGTAAACATGACAAAAATCTGAATCTGAGAGACAGAGAGACAAAGCCCAGGCATTTAAGAAGTGTGATGACACCCAACACCCCACCCACGACAATAACAAAAGGACTGCAACTGGCATCACACATCACGAATAGTTCATTAACATCAGCATATGACAAATGCCTAAAAACTATAAACACGGCATGATTATAACGATACAGTGCTGAATCAACCATTGATGTTGCTGAAAACTATTTTTTATTAAAAATCTGAAACGAACATTTACACCTGCTAACAAAACTGTGTTTGTGAGATTCTGTACAATATAATTAAAAATATGTTATTCCATATTCAAATGTTAAAATAATAATCATCAAATTGTACTATAAATATGTAAAGTTTTCATAATTCCTGCTTGCCAAAGTCTTTAAATAAAAATTAGTATTTCTAAGTATTCTATTAAATTCGAATTTAAAGTAATAGTTTTTATTATACCTTGTTTGATAAATCGGCTTCGCGTTTTAGGCAAATGTCTCATTATCATAAGTTCCTAGATTTAATTAGCTTTTAGCTTCACACGCACACACAAACACACCCCGCATATTCTAAAACTGAGTATTTTTCATTTATTTTTGGCTAGTTGTCAGTTGCCTTTTTGTTTTTTATTTCTGAAAAGAACCATAGTGCTGAAGTCTAATTAAGTGCATAGTTTTAATTTAATTTGCTTTATTTTTGTTGGGGTCTAGCGTTGCCCGAAATCGAAAGTAAACTGAATAAAGAAATGGACTAAAATACATGACAAACTTGGCTGTGTTTCAATTTCAAAGTGCTACTCGATCAAAGCTCCCAAATAAACCTATTAATTATATCGCCTATTCCGCAGAGTGATTCCTGTGGGTGAGATTGTGCTTGAGGATTGCTACAATGATCAGGATGAGGACTACGATTCGGAGGACTCGAATCAGGAGAACTACTTCACGAATGATTACCCGGACGACGAAGAAGCGGGCGGCATGGGTTCCGATGAGGAATTGTGCCGGCAAATGAACAAGTTTATGCTGGGTAAGTACTTTGCAATATGTTTTCTTACTTGATTGCATTTATAAATGTACTTTAAGATGACGACGAGGATGAGTTTGCCAGCACCAGCGATGATGAAGATTATGCCACCTACCAGGATCCCTATGTCCATACGATTGACACCCAAGAAGACTCTTTTGTGGACGATGTGGACTTTTATAACGCGGAGCGGGAAAGGGGCAGCGCCTACGAGCGCTATAAGAGAAGGATTCTAAAAGAGTTGGAGGAGCAGAATGACGATGAGGATGATGATTGTGACTCATTCGCAAGCGCTGATGATGAATGAATGCTGGCAAAACCATTCTGCCAATTGAGAAATTCAATTTCAAGCCTTTACAGTCGATTTTCAATAGATTTAAGATACAAATACATTATGTTTAAGCTTTAGAATAAATAAAGTATCTTTGAAATGGAAATAAAACGGTCGTCTGTGAATAAATATTCTGTTTGTGTTCTTAAATCGTATTTCTTGTATGTGACCTCAATTTTTCATTTTAAAATTGAATTACTTTTAAAATGCAAAGTTTTACAATTATGTTTATTATGCTTTTTTACGGTATTGATAAACTTAATTTAAATCTATGAAAGCCTTCAAAGGCTTCCTTGTTACCTGTACTTCTTGGCGTCTTTTGTTTTCTCAGTCTTTATGTGTTGAATTTGAGGTTTCGGGGCACAACCTTCCATATAAAGACGAAGGGTCTCTTCGTCCATCTTCTCGTTTTCCTTGGGCGGCTTGTAGTCCGCCACATGATCCACTCGAAGGGTTCGGTTGATGATCTTGATGCCATTCAGGTTGTCGACTGCCAGAACTGTGGATCTCTGGTCCTCGTAGCACAGGAAACAGAAGCCCTGAAATGACACGACATAACTATTATAGTATCCATTATATATAGTAAGAAATTACCTTAGATTTCCCCGTTTTGGAGTCCCGAATCAGATTAATGTTGACCACCTCGCCGTACTGAGAAAACACGCAGATCAAGTCTCCCTCGGAAAGAGTGTACGGAAAACCGGCAACGAATATCCAGGCTGAGTCCCGGTACATATCATGCCAGCTCTTTTTCCCTCCATGTTGCAGCTCATGTTCGCTCAGCTTGAGCACATTTTTCATGTTTGTCAGCGGATTCATTTCGCAAATAATTTCAACTTAAGATTTTTGTTTATGTTTGGTAGAAGAGTGACCGCTCGTGGTTCCATCAAAAATACCAAAACAGTTTTTGGAAGGGAAGACATAGTTTAAGATTTTTTTTTATAATTCATAGCTTTTTTTATGCATATAATGACAAGGATACTTACGAAGATGCATTTTTAGAAACCTTTATTAGCTCGCTTTGTCCCTTTCAGTTTTTAGGATTGATTTTAAGCTTTTGGATTTTTTAGGGCGAAATCAAGGTTGGTCAAGATTATTTAGGTGCTAACCAATTCCTACGTCTGGCAACACTGGATGTCGATGTCTCCACCTCGCTGCGCCGCACATTTGTTGTCGTTGTAAAAGGCTGCGGAACCCAGTTATTTGTGCAGTGGGACAGTGAAAAATGTTGTAATATTACCACGATAGCTCGGCCAGTGATCTATTCGAAATAAATAAGGTGTGTACAAATGCGAATATTTGGATTACATAGCCCCCGTCTGTGTATGTGCGTTTATGCGTGTGCCTATGTCCGGGTGCATGTTCGTGTGCGTGCAAAAGAAAAAAGATATGCTGAAAAAAAGTATCTCTTCTCTATTTAAAAATGTGTGTCAGTGTATTGTGCGGCAGCAACAAAAATAATAAATAATAGCTGCCGCTGCTGCTACTGCTTGCTGAAAAAGACCAGAAAAAAACCGTTTGGCGTCTTTGGGTCTTTTAATCGTGCCAAAGCCATTGTTTTATCATTTTTCCCATCATCATTCAAGACGCGTTCTGTGCCGAATAACAGCGAATAACGCCCCGACTTTTTTCTTTTTGTCTTTATTTTTGCGAAGGAAGCTGAGTGTTTCTCGCTCTCTGTCTGGCACACGCAACTATGCCTGCGCCTTGCTATTGGAATAGTTGGTATGTAAAAGACATAAGTGCGATACGTCCGTTTCACACTAGATTTTTGTCACCCTGTGCCAGCCGCTCACACAACACACACACACACACACACACTCTCACCTGAGACAACTCCACCATATGTCTGTCTGTCTATCTGTCTGTTTTTCCTTAACACATTCACATTCCACCCCATTGGCAATGCCTCTCTTTCGTACAGCTGCAGTCAAAATAATAGTAATGGGCCTTCCGTTAAGGTATCTTGTTTTTAGGGTCCTTGATAATGCGAGAAGAGCGAACAAAAGCATTCCTTTAAAGTTGTTTTCTTTTGTCTTACAACTTCAACCCCAGAGAACGTGGATTTTGAACCCATAGTAATAACTTTGAAACTTTACTCTTAACTAAGTTGTTCCTTTAGAATGTCAAGAATAATTTTATTTTCATATCGTTTGTTTATTTGCTTGACTGCATTATTACACATAAAATTATAGAAATGAGCATCCAGAGAATACCAGAAAAACAAATTCCTTTAAAGCAACTTTCAACCCTAGAGGGAATATGTAAAATTCCTAAAAACATATTTCAACCCTATAGGGATTTCCCAACCACTTTTTTTTGCCGTTTTGGTATGACGTTTCAAAACATTAGATCATTTTATTGGTTTTATTTTCATACAATAGGATTTGTTCTATGCACTTTCCAATTTGAAACCAAATTTTGCATTATTGCAATCAATCTTTTAATAACTAAGTGTACTTTCGAAATCAGAACATTTTATTGACCGCCACTGTATGGTCTGTTTGTCTTTTTGTTTTTGTCCACGCAAAAGGAGGAAATATGTACTTTTCTTTGCTTGTTTTTAATGTTTAGGTGTGGTCGTGCTTTAGTTGCGGGCTTACACATATCCAGTTGTATGTGTTTTTTTAAAGCGGAAGCGGTCGTAAAAAAGTTTTCGTGGCGGTGCCCACACAGTTGACATTGAACTCTCGCCAGTGTCTCTGCGAATCTCGCCTTCTCGCTCTCTCCTGCTCCTGGCCGACAAGCCCCTCCCCCCCTTTCCACCCACTCTGCTTGCTGACTGATATTTCGGCCTGCTCTGTTACTTTCCAAAAAACCCAACTCCTGGCCTTTAATTTTTTTCGCTTGCCGGCCACATTTACTTTTCTTCATTCCCTTTTGCGAAGCTAAAAGTTTTTGTGAAAGGAGAGAAGCGTGCGCTAAAAGAATTAAGTGTTAAGGAGGGACAGAAGAAAATCAGTTAACATATATTTTTAGCCGCAGACTAATTGTTAAGGCGGATTTTATGTTAGCTTTTCTATTACAGTTTTATAGCTTATACTAAAAGTTTAGTTTACTCAGCTTTATATTAGTAAATTTTGAAAGAGGGTTTTGGCTTTTATTACAGCTGTAGCTAAAAAATATAGGTTGCTTAAATTTTAAAGCAAATTTTTTCTTATGTATGATATATAAGAAATATATAAGAATACCATCTTTAGATTCTTTAAATAAAAATAAAATCCCAAATGGTTTATTTGTAAAGGTTTTCATTATTTTTAATAGCAATCAGGAGTAAAATAAACGGCAATCGAATATAATACTTGAAAAACAACAGCTCTTATCTATCGTATCTTTAAAGATAGGTGGAAACTGTTATATTATAAGTCATAACCATCCCTTGCCCATCCTTGAGTTCCTCCCATAATTTGAATTATATCTATTCTATGAGAGCATTTTGGGTTCATGTTGTTGACTCATTGTGGCCGTTGTGTGCGGGGGCTTGTGCGGGCAAGCTTTCTCGTTATTGTTATTACGAGATATGTACAGATATGTACTGGTGCGCCGTACATATGTATGTACGGCTCCTACTGCGGTTATTATGTGGCTCACGTCTCTGGGAAAGATTCGCGCCGCGACTGCGCACGATTATGGCACATTTCGGAGTGACGAGAGCAAAGTTGACTGCGCCGCGACCGCCTGTTGCAGAAAACGTCTCAAGTTGGCCACATACATCTACTATATGTTTATTCGTTGCCTTTTTTTTTTTTATTCTGTGCGGCTATATGGCTACATGTGCAGGAGCATAACCGAGCTATGTAGCTGCCCCTGGGCGAGAGCCCGATTCCGAGTTCGATTAATTTCGTTGCGCCTCGGTAGCTGTGCACTCAACTCAAACATCCGCTCAAACGGACAGCGAGCTCACACTAATTCCGTTGGGGAACGTTTAACTCGCCGCCGACCAACCCATTGCACACTGCACACTGCACACTGCCCACATCTGTCAGTCCCCCGGATTCCCCTTCCCATACTTCATACTATACCTTCGAAGAAACCCTTTTTATCTATGGGGGTTGCGTTCACTCGGTTGACAACATCTGGATGGGGGCCTTTGCTCAACTACACTAGAATGCAGGGTATTGAATCACTGAGATACGTAAAGCGAACCTTATTGGTATCAGATTTGTTTGATTTGGAACCTCTGTAACTTGAACTTTGCTACCAGTTTTCTATATTAGTAGTTCTTTATGAAACAGATAACTACTTCTTTTATAAAATTAAATAGCAGTAACATAAATAGATTCCTCACTTTTAATAATTGTTCCTAGGCATTTAACAACTCTTAAATTACTATGTAAAATAATGTAAACAACTTACAATAGCAGAAACACAAAACAATTCAACAGAAAATTCGCTACTCTACACTTTTTACCTTGTATCTTATTGCTGTTTACACCTGTTCATGCCGCCGCCGCCGTCGTCGTCGTTGTCGTTTTATATTCGCATTTTGTTTTTGTTTACATTTATGTAAAAAATTCTTTTTAAACGCTCCATATTGGGCGATGGACACACCCCCAAGCTTTTGCGGCTTTATATGCGGGGGAAATGCCAAACCCACACACAGAGTATAAGAATTTTTGGGTTGGCGGGCTTTTGTAGCTGCTACTGCTGATGTTGTGTTTCATATGCGTATCAAATAATTGAGCTCAATTGATTTCAATTAAAACTGACAAGTCGCTGAGGCTTTTGTTGTTGCTGATGTGTTATGGTTGTTAGTGCTAAGTCAGATGAAACAAAAACCATCAAAAGGTCTGAAATGTGGTCTCTTATGTGTTTGATGAGCTGAGTCGAATACAAAATGCGCTAAGATTGTTAATTTCTTTTGTCAAAGAACGTCACCTGTATAACATCTCAAAACTAAGCAAATATAAATTCTTAATCTTATATTGACTTCATTGGTCAAATAATGAGTGTGTTTTTCCATCGGTGATATAGTATATCAAATATTGTGTATATTTGATCAATTGATTCTGAGTTTCATTTACATATGAATATGACTACCTGCTGATAAGACTTCGACAATCATTAAAGCTGTAAGTGACTGCTAGAATCTCTGAGAATTTGAAAACGTATGTTTTTCATAATAATTTTTGGTCGATTTTGGTTATTTTTTTTTTGTTTTTTCCATATCTACCTATTAACCCCGAGACTCAGATAAGAGAGAAAGTCCCTTCGTTTTTGTTTGTGACTCACCAATGTGACACAGAATCATGTTTAAAAGAATATATAATTCAGCCATGAATCACCTGCGCAATTAGAATCAATGGAATGTTGCTGTATTTGAATAATTGGAGCTCGAATAATTTTAATTGAACATGTGTAATTTATTGATAGACAACTTTTCTGATTTCTACACTTACCTGTACTTATTGTAACCCAAAAGAGGAGACACCAAATTTGGAAAGCAGATTCTTTTAGGTTTCAAGATTTTTCTATCGAACGCCCCCGCAAATATCAAACGCCCATATGAAGATATATTGATCCCATTGTGAGCAGACTTTCAATAACGATCGTTAAAATGAATAAAACATACATCAATAAAAGAATATAAATTGAGCTCGTTTATTTTAGATGTGCGCATTAATGGAATATATTTTGAATAAATAAATATAAATTCATTATAATTTAAAATTTGTTTTTAAAAGTAATTTCTTGAAAACGGGAGCTGGTTTTATCCACCTTATTTTTAGCATATCGGAACCTTAAGCAATTCGTTGGCATTGCTGTCCATTGTAAACTATTTTTCGCTTCACTACAGGAATAGACATTCAAGAATAGCTCTTTGAAATACCAAATTCCTACAAAGGATTTTGCAGGCAAGCGAAGATCAACCCTGAACAGCCTTATATGCCCAGCAATTCATAGAGCAGCAATCTTCTATTAATACGAACAAGTTTCATATGGAGGGTGTTATTTTGTGTATATTTTCGTTTTTGTTTATGAATTTCAGCGCTTGTGCCAATTGCCCCCGTTTGTTATTGCCGTTTGTCTAATTGAAATTCAACACTTTATTGAACAATTCATATGCACGGCCACTCAGTCGGTAGCGCTGGGACAGAAATGAATAATAATTAAATTATATTGCTTTTGTCTGTGTCTGTGTCTCTGCCTCTGACTCTGCCACTCGTCCGACATTTGTTTCTAAATATTTGGCCAGTGCGCTTTCTTCCAGCAGCTGCTTCGCATATTTGTTAATGTGATTTTTATTGTACGACACATATATATTTTTTTGTTTATTTTTTTTTTTTGAAAATTTGCCATGCCGGCGCCACGAGCCTAAGACAACGTAAAGAAAAAATATTTGGATATTGCCGGCCGCGTGTGTTTGGCTTTTTAGTTTTGTATTGTATACGTTTATATACATATATTTTTGTTGATGCGCGCAAAACTTTCACTTCCATTAAAAAAATATAAAGTCTGGTCGTTCGGAGTGTCGCTGTGTGTGTGTGTGTGTTTGTGTGTGTTTATGTGTACCTGTTTGTCGACAACGTTAAATGACATTAGGCTAGGTTTTATGGTCCGCTGGGGGAGATTGGGATGAGTTGGGGTGGGCAGGTGAAGCGCCGGCGAAATTCTGCACAAATGTCAAAGTAGAAAATTTACATGGGCAGCGGAATTGAACGATTTCGCTTTTCTTTTCTACCCTTTTGCTTTCCCATCTTTTTTTTATTATATCTGATGGTCTTTTTTTTAATGCCCTAACAATGGCATTTTAATGGGACTGTTTGTAAAGTAACTTTTAGAAATTTGCTGTTGTTACATTTCGATTGTTATGCAATCCTACTTATAATAAAGTACTCATGTGCGAATGAGCCTGAAACCGTGCATGACCAATTAGCAGTTGCTTATTTTACATATTTTTTAACCATATCAGATTATATATTTGGATATAACATTTTAATGAGGAAACTTTAAGTTTATTTTTGGCAGTTTTATGTACCAAAATATATATTAAATACTTTATTGGGATTAGGAATTGAATGTACCTTAATCTAAATATAATTGCATAAAATGAGTGTATTCAAATGTCATGCATTAGCTAAAGCTTTGCTCCTTTCTGTGGCACCTGCTACATTGTGAGTACTTTGCATTTGTGTGTGCTACAGTCCATAATTGTGTGAACGGAAGTTGAAAGCTCGCTCGCTCGCTCGACAATTAAGCCGGCCATGGGAGTATAAAGTTTGGTCCGTCGCCCTGGTAAAAATAATATAACGGACTTGGGCGGTCCGAACCACGAGCGTTGACTAATATGCCGGTTAGACTAATTGCATTTCTCACATGCTGGGTCCACAGTTTTTGTTTTTTTTGTTTTTTATTTTTTTTCTGTTTTATGAGTCAGTCGAATGTGGGGTTGTGGTATCGATTCAGGGAGCACTCCCCACAAAGGGCTCTCTAAAACACAAGTATAGATGTCGCTGGCTGGCTTGAAAGCAAATCCACCATATGATATGAGTCAGCCAAGCGAGCCAAACTGATCAGATTTCCAAAAGCACAAGTGCCACGGCGAGCTGTCAACTGGGGCGCAGATTGATACTGCTCTGTTCAACAGATTAACGGTAGCCAGTAGACAGCAGTCAGCAGCATATAACATATACCATATACCAAAAACCATACAGCAACCGGATCAGCCTTGGGCTGCAATTTGTTCATGCTGCATAGTTTATAGGAGCGCTGGCTTCAATTGGCCAGTTTAATGACTTCATGTTAGCCCATTAGTCACTCTGTCTGTCTAACTGTCTGTGTCTGTGGCGAAATTGCTTTCATTTGACTTGGTCCCGCCTGGATATATAATTAGGTTATGTAATACGGATCTGCCAAGGCCAATTATAATGCTTATAGCTACAGTTTCATGTGAGTCAGGGCTAGAAAGACTCATCGAAGAATCACAAAAAGGGTAGTCATTGATCTTAATTAAACATATTGTCATACAGATTAGTGTATTTCTTTAAATAAATTGCCTTTATTTTAGAACAAAATTGCCTTTTATTTGAGAATTCCTTTAATTATTATTATTATTCCTATAGCATTCTATATCCTGTCATAAAGTGTGATATTTAAGTCCAGATCCCTGGCATTTCCCAAGATAAACTGGCGCGGATCTATTTAATTGTCCGGCGGCGTATCCGTCTCATTTAGATGCACACCAGCATTGTTTAGCACTTGCCGGCTGAAGTGAGTGAGTGAGTGACTAACAGACCAACTGACTGACTGACTGGCTGAGTGAATGAATGAATGAATGTCGAACAGACGGACGGACGGCCGGACGGACGGACTACCTACCGACTGGCAGTCTCAGTCAGCAACTAGGTTTAAGCACATTATGCATGCATTTGCAGCCTCGTAAGTCTTTTATGGCCGACAACCGACATCATTCGCTGCAATTGCTCGCTCTAGAAACCAGTGAGTGAGTGACCCACTTTGGGCCATAAATTAGCACAAACAACACAGCGGCCTAGACAGGCAACTTTTATTCAGCTTATTAAATACGTACATGTCCGTCTAGTTAGGCTCTCGGACTCACGCACTTACGTTGCCAGTCTTGTTTTTTTATAGATCATTGTCATGTTTAGCTTTCGGTTTCTCGCTGCGAGAGTCAATTGGGTCAAACCGAGAAGTCAAGTCGGCTGTGGGGGAAAAAAAAGCAGACCAGGCAGACCAAGCAGATCAAGCTGAAGTGGAAAATAGAGCCTGAAACCTGCCATTAAAAAGCCATTAACTATTGTCCAACATTAAGTTATTTCATAGCATTAAATTAGCCTCTTGCAAAGCCAAAGCCGATTGAAATGTTTGCTCTGCCGGTGCTCTCACACACTCCGGACATAGACAATGTTGTGTTCAATTGATTGGAGAAAGTGAGCCGGCCAAACAAACCGATGGGAAAATGTCTTCATTCGATTCCATTTTGGCCAAAGTGCAATGGGCAATCAAGAAAATTGAATATGCACACTCTGTTTTTTTGTTGCATTTCTGCATAAATGTTATGAGACTGGAAGCAATCATCATCTGCTTAATTATGTATGTTAATTCAAATCATTTAAATTTTCAATTGCAAAATATATGAGCGTTTATGTTTGTAGGTCACAGCTAAAATTAAATTTTAGTTCGGATAAAGCTTTAATTTCAAAGTGCTAATCAAGTCATTAAAAAGAACACAAAACATTTTACTACAGGAAATACTTAAAAAGGAATCTGCTAGTGATGAATATCAGATTGTCCATTTTGTTATTTGGAAAGATATAAAGCACAATTCAATTAAAAAGTAAAGCAATAAATCTTCGTTAATAATTAGCATTTCCAAATGTATACATCATCGAAACCAAAATCATATGGTTTATATCACAAGAACGTGCTGACTACACAGAATTCTTTAGATATTGATGATGGGAGAACAACAGATTTAACAATACGAATCTTAATTAAATTATGAGAACACGTTGAGAAAGCGGTAGATTGCGTATTATCACATTCATTCATTTATTCAACCATTATTGGGTAGCAGTCGATTACAAGATCAATTTGATGACATCGTTTTGATCTTTTCTTATTCGTTATTCGTATTTATTTTTTTTTTTTTCATTCCCAGGTCGTTGCCGCTTGATTTTATATTTTGTTTTAACCGATTTTATATGCACACTTTGCATTTCTGTCAGTTTGTCGTTGTGATCTTTCTTTATGTGGCTGCATTTTGAGACCGTTAGCGTTAACAATTTTTAATAGTTTTGTTGCGCTACGGCTGCAAGTGATGGACGGCCTCACCGGACTGGACTTTTTCCTAGGCGAGTGGAAAAACCCGTTTGCGTACCGCTCAAATGGTTTCGCTTCGGCCAAAAGTTGTCCGCTGTGTTCGCTTAATTTATGAAAGTTTAAATGCTCCAGCCTGGCGGCGATTGCATTTCGTGTCGCCTGTAAATCAGAACCACCGCTAGGCATCCAGCTTCATCCACATCGACATCGACATCCACATCCACATCTCCCCCAGTTGCATCCATTTCGAATCGCAATCCGCGAATCCCATTCTCATTCTCAACTCCATTCCCAATTCGAGTCCCCCAACTGGTTTGAACTTTATAAATATTTATTGTATATATTTTGTGGCGAGTTGAGTTGAGCTGAGCTGAGCCAAACCCCAACATGTGCCACATCCTGCCGCATGTCTCTGAGCCAGTGACCTTATTTATTCCAGCGCCAAGACAAGGAAAGCGTTTACCTCCTTTTTTTTATTTTGCCCGAAAGTAGAACATTTTGGCCTGGCGAGACTCCAGGTTGAAAAGATCGCGCGTGCCATTAGAAAGTAAACGCCAATAAACGAGGCCTGAATGTTTAATTTGGCCTTTAGGTGCTACTTTGACTTAAACTGCACTCAATTTGGGGTGGACATTTCCACTCCGGAATTGGATCAGACGAAAGTGAATTACTGGCTACTGTCTGCGTTCCGGATTTAAGCTCTAGATTCTCGAATGAGAACGCCAAGTTTCTAAGAACAAGTTGATTCGACACAAATAACAAGTTAGAAAGGAGTTCAAGAGTAGAGTTTATAGTTTAATTTATATTAATAGATGGGTTTGCCAAATTGCAGGTATATGTTCTTATAATGATCTATGCAATTTATCAACTTTAACGTTGACTAAATAAAGTCCGTAAGTGGTTTATGCAAATGAAAACGAAAGGCTTGAGAACAGAATAATAATGATGGAACCTTGTGAATGGAAGAACTGTGGGAAGACTTTTGGCCTTTGCATAGCCATTGTTATTTGTGATTACTCATGAAGGCCTTAACCATAAAGTACATTCTTTCGCTTCTTTCAGATGTTTGCAACTGGCGTAGAGTGACCATCGAGTGGCCATCATGTCGGACAAGGTCAGCACATCCCTGGCAGCCCAGCTGCACTCCCACTCCCATGCTTTGGCCTCGGCGGATGGTGGTGCCGGAGTGAATGGAGGCACCACTGGCTGCCTCAGTGCCAGCACTGAGAAGGACATCCAGGCGCCACTGCAGTTCGAAATGGATGCACCGGCGGCGGCGATCAGTGCCCAGTTGAACTTCAAAATTGTGCCCGCCGACAGTTTGCCCGGGCTGAGCTACCAGGACATGTTCGCCTCCATGAACACATCACAAATCTCCAATGCCTCCACAGAGTCCAGCTGCAGTCCGCCCGTTCAGGGCATGGTGCCGCCTCCAAAGCCCAGTCGACACATGGCCGTGCAGCCGCTGAACAGCGTGAGTAGTCTACATTTCCACTTTAAAATTGTTTAAATTATAACCCAAACCTTATTTTGTAACATTAGAAATCCTGTCGATTTCCCAAGCTGGAGGAGTGCGCCCACTTCCACTATGAACGGGTGCAGCTGGGTCCGCTGTCCGTGCAGCTTTTGGATGACAAGTCGGAGCACATGGGCAGCAGTATTGCCTCCCAGTCGATCGGCGGCGATCTGCCGCACAATTCGCTGCGCAGCTTCTCGCCGGAGAGCTGCTGGTTCATCATTCGCGTGTGCCCGCAGCGCTGCGAACCGTTCCTGATCAAGCGCAGTTTCGAGAACATGCAGCTGCTGGACGAGATGCTCCATCGGTGCGTGTACGACCGCAAGATCAGTGGGCTGCGCAACATGGAGGAACTGGCGGCCGAGCTGCCCAGCGAATCGGATGTGGAATATGCGGTGGCCAAGTACCTGGAGCGCTTCTCGAAGATCGCCTCCGATTCGCTGACCTGCGGCACCATTCTCACCTGGCTGCAGCTGGACAACAAGGGCAGGCGACTGCCTCTGGCGGATGGCGAGACCCAGCGGACCATCAACACGCCGGCGGTGGGCGCTGCCTACGGAGTGAGACGCTACCAGGCGCAGGCTCCCGACGAGATCAACATCGAGGTGGGCGACATGATCTCCGTGATCGATATGCCCAGTCCGGCGGAGTCGGTTTGGTGGCGCGGCAAGAAGTCGCACCTGCAAAAGTCCCTCTACGAGGTGGGCTTCTTCCCCCAATCCTGTGTGGCCACCATCGGCGACAAGGTGCCCCGGAATTTTCCCATGCCGGCTCCGCTCGTCGGCCACCTGGATGCGTCGCCCACCAAGCCGGTGCTGCGCAAGCACGGCAAACTGATCGCCTTCTTCCGTTCCTTCATCCTGTCGCGACCATCACGTCGTCGCCTCAAACAGAGCGGCATCTACCGCGAGCGCGTCTTTAACTGTGACCTCTCCGAGCACTTGCTCAACAGTGGCCAGGACATACCCATGGTGCTGCGCTCCTGCGCCGAGTTTATCGAGAACTATGGCGTCATTGACGGCATCTATCGGCTCTCTGGCATCACCTCGAACATCCAGCGACTGAGGCGCGCCTTCGACGAGGAGCGGGTACCCGATTTGGGCAATCCCGAGATGAAGCAGGACATCCATGCGGTCAGTTCGCTGCTCAAGATGTACTTCCGTGAGCTCCCGAATCCCCTGTGCACCTACCAGCTGTACGACAACTTCGTGGAGGCCATCCAGGTGAAGGCCGACGAGGCGGACGAGCGACTGCGACTCATGAAGGAGACGGTGCTCAAGCTGCCACCGCCGCACTATCGGTTAGTAGTGTCCACATCTTTAAATTGACATTTATTTCATTTTATTGAGTCGATTAGACAAGGCAGCGTCTTACAAATTTGTTTATTGCACACTATCCAGTGTGTTTCAGAAATCATATATAAAAATTGGCATGTTGCTAAATGACTGTATTACAAGAGGAAATTGCTGATATACATTAATTTCTATGTAATGTACCAGAATATTTATTTATAAATGAACGAAAATGTTTAAATGGTTTTTCGTACATAACAGCAAACTCAAATCAATTGAAATTTAATAAATTAAAAGGAAGTAGCTATCTGATATACATTAATTTATATGTGATGTATCAGAATATTCATTTGTAATAAAACAAAATTGTTTAAATAGTTTTTCGACTACAAAAAAACTTAATTGAATTGAAGTTAAATAAATTTAAATACAATAACAATAAATTGAGGAAACCCTTTTTGCTGAATGCCCACCAAAAATGGAATTTAATACGTGATAATGGCAATATTAAAGTAAATGGATGAAAAAATATAATTTACTTGTGGTAGTTAAACTTAATGGTTATTTTTGCATTGAATTCCATGGAATTTAAATTGAACTACATTAAATATTTAATTGCAGAACCCTCAAATACCTTTCCGAGCATCTGTACAAGGTGTCGCAGCACCACGAACGCACTGGCATGACGGACAAGAATCTGGCCATTGTGTGGGCACCGAATCTGCTACGTTCGCCCGCCCTCGAGTCGGGGGGCGTGGCCGCCCTGAGGGGAGTGGGCGTGCAGGCGGTGGTCACCGAGTACCTGATACGGAATTGCCATAACATCTTCGATGCTCTGGAGGATCATCCGTCGCGTCACAGCATGGTGACAAGTGTTGCCGCTGCTGCTGCTGCTGCTGCTGCTGCTGCTGCTGGCAATGCTGCTGGTGGAGAACTGCGTTTGGAGTCACTCACCGATTGCGAAAGTCTGCTGGTGGAACAGCGGGAGCAGGATCAATCGCTGGGCATGGTGGAGCGTCCGAAGAGCCTGAGCACCGGTGGCGCCAAGTTGATCAGTTTGGAGGAGGCACAGGAGCGACATTCGCGGGTCGAGGGCGGCGATCTTAAGCAATCGCTGCCCATCAGCATGCTGACCAGTGCGAGCAGCAATGCCGCCTCGAACATTGGCTCCTACATCGAAGTGGGCGGTGGTCCGTCCAGCTTGCCGGATAAATACCACACGGTGCTGTCGGCACCGCGCAGCTGGCAGAAGCGTAAACCGGACAAGACGCCGTCCTGGAAGTCGATATTCACGCGCAGTCAGCGGCAGGGTAACCCCGATCCTGGCCAGAAGATCACCACGGATGCCAAAGACTCGGTGGCATCGCGTGTTAGCTTTGTGCAGGCCTCGCATGCGCATGCCAGCAAGGAACTGACCAAGGGTGACAAGCCCAAGTCCATTGAGCTGCTGGAGACGACGAGCAACGAACGCGATCCGAAACCGATGGACCTGTGCATCCGCTCCAATTCGATCGATAGCCTGCGCACAGTGGGCCACTCGAGGAGCGTTTCGCATGACTCCTACTTCGATCTGCTGCAGTCGCCGCAACGGGGTCACATGACCACCTGTCCGTCGCGGGAGCTCTCCGAGCTGGGTCTCAATTTCGACCGCGAGGAGCCCGAGATGCGCATCTTCTCGGAGAGCGAGTCGCTGGTCAGCTCGCCGCGCGTCGGCAAGGAGAATGTGCCGCCTGCCTCCGGATGTGCCACGCGTCGCATAATGCGCGCCCGACCGGAGGAGTTCTCCAGCCAGACGAACAGCGTTAATCCGAGTCCCAAGAAGCAGCCACGCCTCAATCTCCTGTCTCCCAGTGCGGCCAGGACCATGCCGGCGCCACCTTCTTCTTCAGCGGCTCCAGCTGCTGTTGCCTCTTCCGCCGCCGCCTGTGGCCATGAATCCGCGGGAACAGAGAACTGCTGCAAGCGCTACAAGCTGGAGGATCAGCTGTGCGACATTCAGTTCATTGACTGCGGCACACCGGAGAATGTGCCCACCACACAGCAGCAGTTTGCCAGCGTTGAAGTGCATCCGCCGCCAAAACCGGCGCGGGCACCGCAATCTCAGATTTCGCCAACGACAACGGCACCTGGTGGTGGTGGCTCCTCCTCTTTGACCCGCTACAGTTATCCGTCGGTGCAGCTGGGGGCCAAGCGGAAGGAGCAGCAGGCGGCCAAGGAGCGTTTCAGCTACCAGGGCACCTTCACGCAGCCGGGACAGAAGCAGGAGCCAGGAGCCGCTCCCAGATCAGTGCAGTGAGTAAAGATACAAACATATAGAAATTTGGTATAATAACACAATGTTTATTCACTTCTAGTGCCAATAGTACCGCTGTTCTGAGGAAACCACGAGTGGAACTGCTGGATGATGGCCAGACCAAGCTGGCCGTGCCCACGCCCACAACGCCCGCCCGCAGTCCTCGTTACTCCCTGCTGCTGTGCGACACCGAAAGTTCGGAGAACAGTTCGGCGGTCAACACTCCCCAGTACGACATGGAGCCCCTTATGCTGACCTCGGCTATGTCCGGCGTGTCCGGCGTCTCGTCCAACATGCAGCAGCAGCTGCTCTTGGGTCTGGATGCGGCCAGCAGCTACCTGGGCAGTTCGCACGAGAGTCTGGGACAACATGTAAGTAAATACATCAAAAAAAAACAAGAAAGAAAGGAAGCAAACTTCGGCAAGCCGAAGTTCATATACCCTTGCAGCTATTTCAAAAACGTTAAAATTATTATTTACTTGCGTGTATGTTTAAAAACATTGAAGCTATAATGATTTGTTGCTTAATTATTCGATAGTTCCTATGGCAGCTATACGATTGTTCCTATGCGAGCTTTAAGCTATAGTCGCCCGATTTTGATGAAATTTAAACCGTAAATCGGAAATATTCAACCATTACTAAATGTTGAAGAACTAAACAAAAAATTAAAAAACAGCAAAGTTATAATTTTTTTTTTATTTATTTTTCCGATTCGTCCAATGGGAGCTATATGCTATAGTCGTCCGATCCGGCTCGTTCCGACTTATATACTACCTGCAATAGAAAGACAACTTTTGGGAAAGTTTCATGCAGATAGCTTTAAAACTGAGGGACTAGTTTGCATAGAAACGAACAGACAGACGGACATGGCTAGATTGACTCTGCTAGTGATGCTGATCAAGAATATACATATATACTTTATGGGGTCGGAGATGTCTCCTTCACTGCTTTGCAAACTTCTGTCTGACCCGCTGCAAGGGTATAAAAAAGCAAACCCAAAATTCAACTAGAGTTGACCCTTCCCATTGCCATTCCAGTTCAACAACCGCCAGGAGGCTGAGCACCGTGATATGAATGCCATCAAACGGGAGCTATCCCTGGATCTGCAGCCGCTGCAGCCGCGCTTGCCACAACCGGCGAATCGCGCCGCCACGCTGCCGGTGAAGGATCAACTGCAGGCAGCGGCGGCGGCGGCCATGTGCTCCTCGCCCAACAACTCCAACTTCACGGACAACACTAGTCAGTCGGTGACGCCCAGCGAGTTTGGCTACCAGCACCTGCAGCGTCAACTGAGCATGCACTCCCTGCTGGCCACCGACGACAGTTCGCCGGTGTACGAGGACTTCGAGCAGACCCCCGTCAAGATGGTGGCCACCAGCCCGATCAAGTCCACCATTAGCATCACCTACAAGTCGCCCGAGAAGGAGAAGAAACCGACGCCGGCGGCGGTACTGCTGGAGACCAATTTCGATGAGAACATTGTCTACGAGCAGGTGAAACTGTTCCGCAACTCGGTCACCGAAGTGAATCAAATGATGCACGAGCGTTCCAGCCTGAAACAGATCGCCGAGGAGGAACAGCAGCAGGATGGAGGTGCCTTTAAGGCCGCAGAGATGACCCAGCAACTGCTGCAACTGGAACAGGAGCAGCATCAGGAGCACCAAGAGCAGCAGGAGAAGGAGGATCAGGAGCCGGAGGATGATGATCAAGAGTCGCAGTTGCTGTACGAAAACATCGAACTGCGCAAACCGAAAACAGTTTACGAAAATCTACGTGGCGAGGAGATGAAACTCAACGCCGATGAACAGAAGCCAAGCGGCAGTGATAGAATCGAACTCGATAGTCTAGACAGTTTGCCGGACAACATGGAGCACGAGCAGCAGTCGTCACCCAGCAAGTCGCCCTCGTTTAGTGTCAAGGAGTTGGCCAACAAGTTTGAGAGCTCGCCGGTGGAGCAGCTGCCCAATTTCGATTTCTCGCTGCGCGGCGGCTCCATGAAGAAGCCCAACGAACTGAGCGTGCCCAAGGCGATGCCCGCACCCGTGCCGCTCAAGAAACTGAGCAGCAGTGCCCAGAAGATAACGCGTTCGCTAGACGAGAATGCCTTCGTGCGCGAATTCGGGGGTAAGCAGCTGCAGGATCTGTCTGTGGCGGGCAAGTTGCCCGAGGTTATGGCGTCGTCTACGTCGTCGTCGTCGGCGTCGTCCTCAGAGGTGAACAGCCGACGCAAGAGCTTCGACTTTACGCGACCCAAGACCCTGAATCCGCCCAAGCGTTTGCCGGGCATGAGCATCACCGAGGAGATCTGCCAAAAGCGCGGCGGCGGCGGAGGCGGCGAACCGGACCCCATCACGCCCACAACGCCCACCACCGAGAATCGCATCTCGCTGATCCAGCAGAACAACATGCCCAATCAGTTCCTGCCTCCGGCGGGACGCAAGAGCGTGCTGACTGGTGTGATCCTGGACCGCGAACGCATCGACAAGATCAAGGAGGAGCGGCGTCAGCAGCTGACGCAGAAGTACTATGGCGACACGCTAAAGTCCCGCTCGCGCACTGAACTAAATGCGGAGGACAACTTCCAGGCCGCCGAATCGCTGCGCATCAAGTCGAAGTCGCGCGGCGACATGCACGCCTTGCAGAAGGACATGGACATGAATCTGAAGCAGTTGACCCGCGTGGCTGGCGGTGGCTCGGAGAGCACCCTCCACATGGCCCACGGCCAGGGCAACGGACAGGAGCAACTCAGTCAGCAGCGGGTGCGCCGCATTTCGGATGAGAAGAATCAAAATTGTGATACCAGCAATGGTGGAGGAGTCCAGGGCCAGATCCATGGTGGCGTAACCGCCACCTCGCTGCTCAGCGTTAAGACGGCGGCCCAGAAATATGGCACCAGTACCATCACCAGCGCAAACAAGGCGCCGGCGAATAAGTTCGAACGTGGCCAGCCGATGTCGCGCGAGCGTTTGCAGCGCAACTCGTTGGCCGAGAGCAATGCGGGCACTAAGTAAGTGAAAATCTTGAAACCTTTTTGCATTAACCCAACCTTAATCCAAACTTTTCTCTCTTACAGCAACAGAGAAAAGATCTCACCACAATTCTCAATACGCGACGTGACAGCTATGTTCGAATCTCGTTCACAAAACCAATAGGCTAAGGCAACATTAGCAACTAATTACATCGAAATAATGAGACCGCTACCTACACTATAATCACTGTACTGGAGCAGCAGCATATATGTGCATATAGGAGCATATATATTTTATTTAGTTTTTAGACATTCACTTAAGCGCATCCAAATTCTCGAAAAAGTGTTCTTGATATACATATACGGCGCAAGCGGCTCCAAAGACATTCAGATTTATAAAGCCGCGCTCGTTTGCAACATTTATAATGATACTGATTACTAATAACTGATTACTGATAACTGATTACGGATGATAATCATAATGACGACGCTTTGCGCCTTGAATCATATGCAAAATTCAATTTTGTTTTGAAGAAGCATGAAGAAGAGAGTTTAACTAAAAGACCATCCTCATCACACCCCGCAAGTCCCTCGATCCTGAACAATGCATATTGTTATTGCATTTCAGGCATTTCTCTACATAGGTGTTAAGTTTCATTCGTTTAACCTTTTAAGAGAAAACTGAATTCTATATTTTTGAATTTAATTTTGGTTTGTTTTTGCGTGATTTGTGTTTGGAATGTTTTTATTTTCTTGTTTACCTACTAAATTGTGACGCGCGTGTATCGGAAAGAATCGTTTTCTTAATTTAAAATTAATTTGCATTTGCAACAACAACTTTGAGCAAGTTGTCCTAATTTAATTATTATACGATTAATTTATATATATTTTTTAAAACAATAAACTCAATTGCATTGTCACTCAAAAGTACTCGATCTTCAACCAATTTTTGTATATACTGGTTGGCTTTGCTTATAACCTGCTGCCGATGGAAACTATATGCATAACTGAAGATTTGAAAAGTCTGTGTACGCGACTTAAGCGAATTGTCGATTGAAAACCTAGACTTCCAGGAAGCTTATAAAAAAATGCATATTAAATGTTTGAAGTGCCGCTTGTTTGTCAGAATCAAAAGAGTTAATATGGTTAGTTTTCTACAATCCTAGAAACTGAAATCACAAATATATTTTCTTTACAAATTATAACATTGAGAGTAGTAAAACTAAAGAACAAATACAAATGGTTGTCTATAAATATATATACACTAATACCTTTACACTAACTGGTAACAGTTCGCTATAAAAGAAAAACTGAATATTTTATATATTAAAATGCAGTGAACAGAACGGTTATCTACTATTTAGGGCTGAAACGCATGTACTAAAGCTTACCTTTATTATTGAAAGTAATTCAATAGGTTTGAATCGATGAAATTTGGATCATTTTGTATATTTCAGAAAGCATAATGAAATCCAGGCGGATATATATTCCTGAAATCTAGACATATATGGCTGGAAAAGTGCTGAATGAATTTGTAACCATATTTAAGGGCAAATACAACTTTAATTTGGTCGAAATAGTTATGATTTTCCTTTTCCTCTTAAAAAATGTAGTAGATTTGAAATTTTATTTGATAAATAAATGAACTTGGAAGTCATTAAGCGCGTACACAGCAAGAATATTCTTACAATACACTACCATTATGACCAATAAATGGCACGTTTGGTGCATAACTAAATAAAGAATTTTTACGTGTGGCTAGTGCTTAGATTTGACTAATAGATAAATTTGATACTATAAAAAAGAAAACATTAGTTGGAAAAATTAATCAGAAAATAATCAATCTTTTAAATTACTCCAGAGCAGCTGCCAAAACGTTTATATTCAAACTTATCAAAATTTTTAATGACGAAGGACAACAGATGCTACGAAATGGAAGCATTAACGGGAGATTAACAGAATTGTAATACAATAACTAAATAGAAAGCTTTAAAACATAAGTTAGCATTTGATATATTTTGATAAAAACAAAAGAAAACCCCAACATAGTTATAAACAATTGTATTTCATAATGACTGAACCAACAAAATGGCAAAGGAGAAGAAAAACAATTAGGCAACGCTTGCGACAGCAATTACAAGCAAATCCATTTATATACAAATAAATACTTACAAACTGCATAAAAAACGTATATTTAATAGAGCAAAGATCAATCAACCATTAAAATGAAATGGAACATAAAAAAAAGAGCATAAGATGAAAAGTCGTGCGATGAGTTCACAATTTACATTAACATTTTTATAAGCCATAACATAACGACATGAATAAAACAACAACATACTACTATAACGCATTTAAATAAAACAAGAATATTAAATACAAATAATTTTGTTGTTTGCAATCGGTATATTATCGTTTTAACTTGACCGCAGTTTGTTTTGGTTAATGTGCTTTTTTCTGATTTGTGGTTATGCGTAATTAAAATTATCAGAAAAAGCGATAGGAGGTGATAGTTAGGATTATCTTTACATACTATAATACATACTATTTAAACGGATTTAAATAAAACAATAATATAAATATTATTTACAGACATTTTTATTGTTTGCGGTTTGTATATTATCGTTTTAATTTGACCACAGCTCGTTTCAGTTTATTGTAGATTTTTTTTTGTGGTTTTGTGTAATTTAAATTATAGGCAGCGTTTCCGACCCTATAATTATGTATAATATATATTTCTTTTATATATGTTTATTCGATTAAAATAATTGACTCTTACACAAATCTTCCAAATAAACCTTTTTTTAGAAGCATAAATGTAAGTTTTCGGTAGATGGCGCCACCTAAAACCCTTTTATTTTCTAGGGTCTATAAGTTTAATAAATATTTATTTAACAAAGCATGGAGCATTTATTAGCTTTTATACAATCAACTGATTATAATATGAACAAAAGCCAGCAAATTCCCGCTGATCTTTTCTTTCGCCCATCGTCGACTAAAAATATGTTCACAGAGGAGGAGTTGTACCACCCATAGTTAAATGACAAGTCCTTAATTTTATTAGCCATAAGCTTTGTCCTTTGCTTTCGTTTTTTGAACCTGCTGGGCGGCAGCAGAAAAGAGCACGTGAGAAAACCAATTTGATTAAATTTCCATAGAGACGCGCAGCAGGTCAGAAGTGTGACGGGTTGAGAGGGTAGCGATATGGGATGTCTTATCGCCGCATCAGTTGTTGTTAGCCGGCTACTTAACGCGGATGCACAGCCACCACCAAAGGACACACACAACACATCCTTCGATGCGGGCTCACAGCGGTGAACGCACTAAATGATGTGCATAAGTGCGAAAACGTTTTGCACATGGAATGCCTTCCTCGCCTCTGATGTTTTACTTCTTATTTTTTATTTTTTGCTCTGCTCTGGCTGTCTGTTTGGGTTGATTGACGCTGATAGGGCACGTGCTGGCAATTATTTTAGAATAAACATAACAAGCCTCTCCACGGGGCCAAATCATCAGATGACTTCTCCTCTTCAGCTTCTCGCTCTTGGGCACGGTCGAAATATATTTTCCCTACAAAAGATGCTGGCAGATTAGAGCAGGCGATAATAAATCACTCCCATTGATAAGGCAAGCCTAAAAAATATTATTACAATTTTGTAACTCTGTATTTATGGTACCAAATCATTTAAATAATCATTTAAATCTATATTTGTAACAAAAAATATCCCAAATTTTTTGTTCAACAAATTTTGAAAGTTTAACTAAAGAATGTTTAAAAACCGTAACTGAGTAAAAAATATAAAATCGAACTGTGGCTGATCTGGGATTTTGTTGTGAGGTGCTTTTTAGAAGCATACTTTCACAGCACTTGAATATAATTGAATATAATTATTGACCAGAGTTATGTTATTTTCGTATCTCATAAATTTTCGCCTTTGTTCACCCGTCATTTACTTTGAAATATTTAAGCACCTCATTACTTTCCATTTGTCAAATGCATTATTACTATTTGGGCAATAATTGTAGGTTCTGAAACGGGTAAAATATCGAAATCAGTGAGTTAGGATCGTTAGAACACCCACTAATTCCTCCCTCGAGGGTATTCGAATTCCCAGTGGCTGGTTTTTGTTAACGCTCGGTCTTTGGGGCGGTCGGTTGCTTATTAAAAGTCTCTTGTTGTGATCCTAGGCCCAGTAACCTTTTCGTCCTGCCCCTCGTCCTCGAATTAGTCCGCCGCCCAGACAATTAGAGCACTAACAAATGCAATTATCCCGGCACCTCCCTCCACTTGTGCGCCATTCCTTCACCCCTTGCGGCACACAATTGCTCTCATTGGCAACAATTGTAGATGAACCCGGAGTCACAAGTCCTTCAAGTCCTTTCCCAGCCAACAGGCCAACAAACAGCGAAAAATTCAAAGCAAAAAAAAAAATGAAAAAGGAAAATACGTGCCAAGCTACGAGAGTGCAAACTGGCAAGGCAAAAGTTTTCCAAACGCGTGCCACATATTAAATTACATCGAAATATGTGCACACGATGATTTGTCGAAGGGCAGTTTGTAATTTGCTGGCATTTTTTGATTTTATCAGGCGACGGGGGCAGCATCGCTGTTATTTTGATACAGTTGTTGGCCTTTACGGCCATGTAGTGTGCTACTTAATTGAATTTATCCCGCGTAATTATCGTAAAATTTACTGAACAACCAAGCGCTACAAAATGGGGAGTTGTTGGTGCCCAACCTTTCCGGATATGGCACTTATGGATGGGCGGAACGCCACAATTTTCGAACATATTTGTTATTTAAATGCAGCCGAATAGCCATTTTATTGGGAGTTCAAAAAAGGGGTGTTTTGGGAAAGAACAGTTAAATAAAAAATGGTTTAAGAAAGAACCGGACACAAATTAAGTAAATATTTTCTGTTTACCCATTTAAAGCCTAAGCTAAATCTTGTTTTTTCTTAATTTTGTTTATAGTTTTCTTGGTTCATTACACAACATCTTCGACAAATGTACTTCTTAAATTTGAGATAAATCTGCGGCTATGATCTCATCTTATTTGAAGGTCTTGAAAGATCTTCTTATGTTGCGGTCATTTCAAAATTTATTAATTCAAAATTACGACATTCGAAATTGGTTTATTATTTGTTATAAAAATTTTAAAATAAAAAAGAAGCTTGTTTTCTGCCCCTAAAACCCATAAAACGTCCTAAGAATGGACTGGAATGACCTCCTATAAATCGGTAGATCCTAAAAGATGTAATATTTCATATTCTTTAAAGAAACTATTTGCATTGAATTGATGGTTTACCATAAGAAAAAGGACCTATGTAAAGGAAGTGCCACTCGCTGAGGATGTAGCCACTTGAGCTCCTGCTCTGAACCCTGCTCCCAAGGACAAAGGACCCGCAAGGATGTACAAGTTTGTGTTGCTTGTATCAAAAGTTAATTTACCGAGAATCAAACTTAAATGCGGAGAAAGGATCTGACGAGATGCGCCGCCGACATTTCACCCCCTATTCCAACAAACAGGCACGACCTATGGCTTATGTAACCCGATCGGTGACACACTTCAGCTTTGATTTCAGGGAATTATGCTAACACAAAAAAGAAAAAAACAACAGCAAGGAGAAGACTTCGATGTCGACAATACAAAAGGATTTGCCAGGCAAACTGACACAAAATGCTGTAATTGCCCCAAGGAAGCGCACCCTCCTGAGGACTCAACCGCAAAGTGGCTGGCAATTCGATGCCCAGGACATAGTCGCATTTTTATTATTATAAAAATTAGGCTTAGTCCAAATGACGGGACACGTGCAACAATGGAAATTAAGTAGACTAAATGATGGCTCAAAAATATGATCGGCTGGCAGACTTGGCCATGGGAATATCTTTTCGTGTTAAGAGAAAAATCAATAAACATTCCAGAAAAG